AGTTCATTGTCCAATTCCAGCTTTAGCCCATGCAGTCCCATCCTGCTTGTTTTTCTCTCTCCAGCCCACGTTGTTTGTGCTCTTGGGCCTGAGATTTGGATCATTGGTCCCCAGCTAGAGAAGGAATTGTTTTGTCTCCCTGCTCTGTGCACAGAGCTCACCATCCCTTAGTGTGAAGCCCAGACCCACACACTACAGCAACACAGAATCTGAAAAATATAAAAGCCAAAACCTGAGGCATAAGCTGGTCAAGGAAAAGTGTGCTCCAAGCCACCCAGATGAGCAGTGACAAAACAATTCAGTGTAAGTGGTTTTCCAAGGAGAAGGTGCAGAGCCCAGTGGGATTGATGGCGCTCTGCAGATGACAGCAGAGCCTAAGGGATTGTGAAGTGGGGCCACAAGCTGGGAAGTGAAACTGGAAGTAGGATCACCAGCCAAAAGGTTTTGGGAACTTTCCCTGTGGTGATCAGAGGCCTCACAATGTGAAAATCCTGCGAAGGGAAATGTCTCTAGCACCAGGTCATTTCACCTTGCCAAGCCAAATAATTTAAATGCAACCATAGGCTTCAAGAGGGGGGATCTCAGTCTGGGAAGAAGAGAACAGATCCCAGAGAGAAAATATCCCAGATCAGGTATTAAACTGAAGGTGGAAAATCTGGGTTCAGATCCAGGGGCTGAATAATAGGGGGAATTTAAGTGTCATCCAAGAAGGCTTCCAAGCATCAGTCTTGTTCCTATAGACTTCTGTGAAAAGCTTCAGTTTTAATACACATAAACTTTTTGGTGTAAAAAAAAATCCTCCAAAATACCTGAAATCATAAACTTGTTAAGGAAAAGCATAGATTCTTTCTAGAAGGGAGGGACTTCTAACTAGAATTCAGTGGGTTCTTTTGGTGTGAGAGTTTGTTAACCTGGGGCCATTCTCAGTCCTCACAGGTCTCCTGGGCATTTGTTTTGTAGTTGGGTTGCTCTGCTGCCTTCTGTGGAAATTTGTGAACTGCTCTTATCCTCCTCAGGAGTGTCCCATAAATAACCTTTTTTGGGGTTTTTGTTGTTGTTGTTTTTGTTGGGGGTTTTTTTGGGTTTTTTGTTTGGTTTGGTTTTATGGTGAGTAGAGAAAATGTCTATTCCCTCCAGAGAAATCCCAACTCTGGCTGATGTTACATTTCTCCCTTGTTGAAGTTTCTCAAGCTCATTTGTGGTCCTGTCAGGGCATCTGGAGTTTGGTAGAGCACACACATCCCTCTGAGCTGAGCTAACATGGAACCCTGGAATCCCAGGATAGTTTGGGATGGAAGGGACCTTAAATCCCATCCAGTGCCACCCCTGCCATGGCAGGGACACCTTCCACTGTCCCAGGCTGCTCCAGCCTGGCCTTGGGCACTGCCAGGGAT